GCTGTGACATAAATGGGCTTTTCTCTTATTCATGGTGGCACCAGAGTCACTGCAGTGCCTCAGATCTGCTGAATAACAGACTTGTTGAAACAGATATCCCCAGCTCAGCAGAGCATGGGAGCACCTTAAAAACCGAAAACAATTCAGCATTTCACCAAAACAAATCTAGTGCTATTTTCCCACAACAAGTGCATTTTCCAAAAACACCAACCCACTTGTGTGATGACCCTTTTTATCATACATAGGCAGAGCTTTTCTAAGGGCCACAGGGGACAGAGGTAGCTCCATCTCCTGCAGACAAGCCCACCTCGGAAAGGTTTCTGAGGCTGGAGGGTGGACTGGGCTGGTTTGGTTCCCCTGCAGTGGACACAGAGCTGTGCTGTGCTCCCACCACACCAAGTTTGGATGCTTCTGCCTTTGTACTGCACATCTGGGGACCCCTTTGATTTTGGGCTTTTTAGAAAATTAATGAAAAACTAAATCAAACTATCCCAAAATAAAGTGTCCCAGACACAATGCTCAGCCTCAGCCACCACTGAGTTGCTGGTGGAGGCACACAACCACTGATTTGAGGCTCAAAATTCACAATTAGAGTCACAGAGGGCTGAGATCAAATGCATTTCTTCCAGTCATTTGCCAGGATAATAAAGAACAGGTCAGGAGATGCCAGAGCTAAACATTAACCTTGTCTCCAGCAAGGAGAATCTGCAGATGAAATAAAAGTCAGCTTATAAACTTAAGTAGATAAGAGTGTCTCGAAGGAATCTTCCCCTAACAGGCCCAAAAATGCTGCTTTGCAATTACCTATCTCCTGGGAGAGGGAAAATAAATCCTCCCTGAGTCACTAACTCCAGCAGCCACCACTTACATGACAGAAAAAACCCACAAGAACCAACAGGTAGAACACAGAGAAACGATTGCTGTACAGAACCACTGAAATGCTCACGGGCAGAAACTCACACAGTCCCTGCATGGTTCTGCACCTGGCCTGGCTCAGGATTCCCCCTGTGCTGGAGCAGCCAGTCCCAGCCTGGATGTGCAGAGAGCCACAGCTTCTCCCAGGCTTCCTCCCAGCATCTCCTGGAAGCTGCTGCTAACTCTGTTATTTAACAGAAGAGATGCCCCTAAGGGAAGGGGCCCCTATTTTTGTGTTTCAGGCAGCCTTGGCTCTGTTTCCTGGGCCATTGGGAGCCCCTGGGTGCTCCAAGGTGCTGGGGCTGGTGCTGAGTGTGTCCCCCCAGCCCAGCTCAGCAGGATGGCACCACTCAGTGTGTCCCCACCAGTGCACCCTTCCAGCCAAATTCCTGGCGAGCAACTGCTCTCCCTGCTCCACACCCCTTCAAACCCTCAATTAAATCAGTTATAAATAGCAAGAACACCCTCAACCCTTACCCTGCTGCTGCCAAAGCTCCGAGTCAGCAGGAGCTCACCAGAGCCTTCCCATCCCGCAGGGAGGCTGAGGCTGGAAGTGTCCTGTCCCTGCTGACAGCAGTGACATTGCTCCCCGGGCTGACCCTCGCCTGGCTGAGGAGGAAAAAGGATCGTGGCCATCGAGAGACTCAGCCAACAACTTCCCTTGTCCCCATATCCCCCTGCCCCTCAATCCTGATCCCTGCTCGCTTCTCTACCCCCCTACAAACGCCCTGTACCTGGCACTGTGCCCACGTGAAGTCCAGACAGAGGAACTTCACAAAGCTCCCTCTATCTACCTCTGCTGTCTTATCAATGTAACTCAATAGGCTGCTCTGATGGGATCAATCCTGGATAAAGCCTGGCACGAGCCTCTCTGCCCTTGGTCCACACTGCCTTCCCTTCCCTGGGCAACTGCTTGGGCTTCAGAAAGCTTTGGTCTTTTTTGCTTTGTTCTTTTTTTACTGACAGCCAAAAAAAAAAAAGCTCTTAGCATCCCTATTTTAGTAAAACACCATGTGATTTGCTGCATTGCAGCAGCCTCATCTCTGGGACCCCCAGAGCAGCAAACCTCCTGCATGCAGCAGAACCCCCCCACTGCCACACAGGGATCTGTGAGCTGCAGAAGGGAAGAGCCAGGAGGGAAAGGTGGATGAGGACACTCCATCCTCCCTGTGTGCCCTCCAAGGCCACCACGCCCCAAGGGGGTGATGCCACTGGGGGTGGCTTGGTGGGAAGGGAGCTGCCAGCTCAGCTGTGAGCATGGCAGGGGCCATCCCCAGGAAATGCTGCAACACTGAGAGGCAGAAACCCGTGATGGCCAAAGACAGAACGAGAAAAATCCTCTGTAATTCATATTTTAAACAGGAGAGCAATCAGCTCTGAGAGGGATACAAAAGGCACCAGAGGGGTTTCAGCCTTGTCCGTGCTGGAGCCCAGTGTTCTCATCTGCTCCCAGGGAAATCAGATCCAACTCCAGTTCCTTGGTGTCACCAAGGGTAGGGAGCCTCAAAACCTCTGCAAGTTTGGTACATCAATAAAAAGCTAATTCAGTTTTACTGCATTTTATCAGAGGCTTCCAAGAACACAAAACTGAATTTTCCTTTCTCTTTCAGACCACAACTGCTCCTACTTCAAGCACTTCACTCCAGGAGAGACCTCGGAGATATTTGAAGTAACCACCCAGAAAGGTAAGAATGATTCCAAAAGAATATTTTCCTAATGTTGTATGAAGTGATGGACACACAAGATCTAATGGAAAGGGGTCCCCAAAAGGAGACTTCAGTCCTGGTTCCACTGAAAGCAGCAGAATTTCTAACAGGCACCATCAGTTGGGAAAAATGTGCAAAATGTCCTGGACAAGGTCAAATCCCAGCTTCCTGGGGACAATTATTTTTATATATGATCACACCCATGAACATGATTTTACATAAGTTGTCCCACAAATATATAACAACGTCAATACCCAGGAAAATTGCAAAAAGTCCTTCCAGCATAAAAATGACTTTACAACATTGGCACTATCCGTGACACTCAGGTTCTGCCATTGAAGGGGAAGATATTAATAAAACCTAAATGAATAAATCATACCCCAAACAGAGTCTTGACCCTGAAAAGAAGTGCAGGGGCTCTCTGAAGACCATTAAGAATTTTATGCTTCATATTGATTTTATATGAAAGCCATGTAAAAAATAGAGCAATCAATGAATGGAAGGAACAGGAATCCTACAAAGACATGAACTGTCAGTGTTTACAGCAGAACTGTCTTTCATGGACAAATTTCACGTTTTTAGTAAGTCCAAATATTTTGAGGGCTCCCCTAACATGCTCCTCTCTCTTTCTCATCCTCTCCTTGGGGACAAACTCCTTCATAGTTTGCAACACAACATATTTACTGTGGAAAATGTGAGCCATTGAATACATTACATGAATTAATCTGCTTTGCTTCTGCTACTCTGAAGATAGGTTCCCTAAAACAGGAGCTTCCTAAAACAGGAAAGACAGGAATTTTAACTGGATAGAAAAGCATGTATCTGAGTCACCTGCTTTTGCTTACTAATCTGCTATCTGATACAGCCACCTGATCTTCAAAATGCACCCAATGCCTTCAGGGCAATGAAGAACAAAATCAGAAAAAAATTATTCTTTAGGAAAAAAAAAAATTTAAAAAGGAAAAACTTCTTTTCTTTGGGGCAAAAAGAAAATCTTAAGCCCAGCAAAAGATTTTACAATGAAATAAACACTTGCAGGCAGTTCCAGCACAGAGAAAAGAGAAACATTTAGAAAAGGATAATAAAACAGTGATATGAAAAGCAGGGAGAACAAAGAGTGATCTGCTGTTCCCCTTTGCAGAAATAGCTCATTTGGATGGGAGCTAATTAGTAACAGGCAAAAAAATTCTTCATGATTTTGCCTGGGAGATATTTTTTTTAATGGCTTGAAAGGCAAATATCATCAGGCACTGTGATGTTCATGCATGGCTACATGTGTTAAATATTAAACTAATCTGAAAACGAACACAACATGCAAATGAAGCCCTGAATTACTCAATTAACAACTCTCCCCCTCTGCCCAGGCACTGAGCAGTGCTGGGCTGGGGGAAATGTCCAGCACATGGCTTAGCAAAAACCAGGACTTTTGGGGAGGGTTTAATCCCATTCCCTGAAGAAGCTGGGTTTCCACAGAGCTGGAAATCACTGTTGTAAAGGCAAAGGAATAAAAATGAGCAGTGCAGAACATTTCACCCCTGGCCTGCTGTGCCTGCTCTGGTGCTGAGCCCACGGAGCACTCGGCTCTCCATGGGACAGCACCAGCACCATCCACGGGCCAGGGCTCTGCAGAAAACACGGAATAAAAGCAGCAGAGAGCTGACTATTTGCTCCAGGAGCAGAGTGTGGGTGATGGAAGGGACGAGAGCATGGAGCCCAGCAAGGCTTTGGCAATAACATTTCCATGGCAGAGCCAAAGCAGCTCCAGCCCAGTGCTCCAGCAGCCCCATACAGGGGGCTGATGAGCAAAGGTGCCCTGGGCTACCTCAGGGGGTGTTCAGAAAGCATTTTCCCCTTCCTGCTCTGCTTTCATACCCTTCACATTCAAAAGATACATGGCCAATACTTGCCCTGTTTTCACTTGGGGGAAATAATTCACCAAAGCCACCTCGCCCAGGCATCAGAGATGCACATATTTCTCAGAGTGAGTTACTGCAACGTCCCCACAGCTGATGGCAGCAGGCTCAAAATGTGCACACTATGTCATTTTTGGTGGGTTTTTTTTTTTTTCCTTTGGCAGAATACAGCATTTCAGCTGCAGCCATTGCCATCTTCAGCGTTGGCTTTGCAATCATCGGGACAATCTGTGTCCTCTTGTCCTTCAGGAAGAAGAGGGATTATCTGCTGAAGCCAGCATCCATGTTCTACACCTTTGCAGGTACGAGGAGGGCTGCTCACATTTCTGCACTTGGTTCGTAGGACAACACAGAGAAACTTAAGATAGATCCCAAGGGACAGAGACACTCCTAAATATGCCCTGAAAGCATTTTCTTCCTGGCCACAGACTACAGGTCTCTGTGTGGTATGAGAAAATTCTGTTCAGCAGCTGGTCTGTGTTTTCTCCAACCCTTTAAAAGTATATTCACTCCCTTCTAGTATGTTCACTGTCAGTCCCAGTCTGAACCAGGGACACACAATATTCTATCTCATTTATTAAGCTTCAAAACAACAAAACGGCTGATCCAGGCCCAAAATACACAACAGTCTCCCAAACACACGAAGACTGCACTGGTACATGAGCCAGGAATATTCTGACATGCCACAATGAGCGAAAGACAGAGGTGCAAACTGTCACCTCAATATAAAATCTTCCTCAACCTCTGAAAAAGCTCCTCAGGGAACGCAATTATTCCTCCTCCACTTTGAATTCCCCATCCAAGCCTGCCTAAAAGATCACACTCAACAAGTCAGTGGCTGACCTCAGTAATGGCAGAGCTCCTGGCAGATCTGAGCACTGGTTCCTTCAAACACTGGAGTCAGTGACTCACCTGTGAATCTCACTGCAGCTCCTGTATGCAAAACAACAGATGAGGCGGTTAATTAAGGATGAAAAATTGACAGCTGGTTATTCAACCCACTGCTCCTATCTTCCTTCAGGTCTCTGCATCATCATCTCTGTAGAAGTCATGAGACAATCCGTGAAGAGGATGATTGACAGCAAGGAGACAGCCTGGATCAAGTACAGTTACTCCTGGTCCTTCGCCTGTGCCTGCGCCTCCTTCGTGCTGCTCTTCGTCTGCGGCATCGCCCTCCTCCTCATCGCGCTGCCCCGCTTCCCCCAGAACCCCTGGGAGACCTGCATGGATGCAGAACCAGAGCACTGATGGTCCCTGCACCCAGGAAAAATATCCAGAAAGTGCTCTGAAAATATTTGTATTTTTTTAAAATGTCTGGGTCTCACCACACAATGTGCTCTCCATCAAGTGAGTCATTACTGAGCCAAGGCAGGTTTGATTGCAATTGTTGCTTTCTTTTTCTTTTCCTCTCTTTTTTCCTTTCTTTTTTCTCTCTTTTTTGATTCTTTTTTTTTCCTTTTCCTTTTTTTTTAAGAAAGCAGAAAGACCACTCAATACCATCATGGGTGTGTGTGAATGGCACTGCTCTGTGCCAATTTGGGGCTGCTCTGTGCTGATGCAGTTGAGGGGAAATCTGTATAGATCCATGAGGGATATCAGGCTTTTATACCTTACTTGGTCAGAGAGACACTGAGGAGTCAATGTCCCCAGTTTTGCCACACTCCTCTCCTTCCCTCAGAAGGGCTAACTTGTTTCCCCAGGGTAAGTTGGAAATCTCTTCTATTAAAATGTTAACATTTGATAAAAAACAAAACAGAACTTTGCGTAGCATTGGGATAAAAATCCCCCCTCCAAATTTACACCCTGCAGTTCCATTCTTCTGAATCAATCATAAAACCCCACAAATCAGTCTTGTGTTTTGCTTAAACTTCAGTGGCAAAGCCAAGAAGTACTGAACATGGAGAGTGATATTTTCCTTTAATAAAAAGCATAATCTTCCAGTAGCATGATTTTCTGGAAAATTATTTGATGGATGAATCACTTGGCCCATGAGATTCTGCCAGGCCCGTGATGGCAGAGCAGGGCTGGGTGGTGTTTGCTGCACTGAGCTCTCATTTGTTCCCTGGACTGGGCTTTGTAAGAGCACCCTGCTCTGCTCACTGCACGTGTGTACACAGAGCTGCATCCCAGGAAAAACTCTCCAAAGCTGAGAGGGGAAGGATTCTGCCTGAAAGAGCCGGGAGAGGCAGCCCTGAGAACACCCCGGCACCTCACTGCTGCTGCTGCTGCTGCTGCTGCAGAATCACAGAGCCCAGGCACTGCTGGGGGATGCTGCAGGCGCTGCTTTGCTGCTGAGAGCCTGCAGGGCTCTGCCACAGCTGCCTCAAGCACTTTGGAAGCACTTTGGGGTCCCCCAACCCAACCATCAGCAGCACTGGGGTCCCCCAGCCCCACATGCTCACCCAGCCCCTCCAGTCATGTCTTTTTCACCCTTAAAGTCTCCCAGCACCAAGAGGTGGGGTATTTCTTCATTTTTTTCTTTTTTACAGTTCAATTTTCAGAATCTGTTCAACATTTGCCCCCCAAGCAGGAAACGGTACATAGCTTACAGTGTACTCTTCTCACCCAGTAATTTAAAAATCAGGAGAAAGGGGAACTGAAGTGCTATTCCCTCTGTGTTTAGCTGTCCACAATGCTAAAGAAAACGAGAATTCCTAACAGAAAAATCTCTGGTCAATTTGAAGAGGTCTGAAATCACGGCATGTTCAAACATTTGGAGAAATTCCCCAGCAATTCTGTGCTGGCTCCAGGGGCTGCCCTGGGCCCTGCTCAGCCCCAGCAGCCCCAGCCAGACTCAGGCTCATCTCCATTTTCCCCATCAGCAGAGTGGCAGCGAGAACAGAAGCCTTTTGTGAAGTTGCATTAATGTTTTCCAAGCTCTTTGAAGTTGAAAAGCACTACAAATAACACATATATTATAAAGTTTTGGGATGAAGCACTCATTGGTGCTCAGATCTGAGTGTGAGCTGAGGAGCTCTGCCTGTCTCTCATCATGAGAGACAACTGCAAGTCTTCACGTTGTCACAGAACCACTCTGAAATGCTAAATAGTTTTGAAATCTTATTTTTGGGTACAGAGCTGACTTCCTGAATTTGCATTTTCATTGTTCAGAAAAATAGAGGCTAGTTTCTAGGGAGAACCTTTACATGCAACAACAGAAAGGAAAGCAGTCAGTGTGACTGCTGGGGTGGCTGACCCCGGATTGGGACATCCAAACCTACACAGCAAAGATTAATCCAAGCAGAGCAGCTGGCAGGAACAACAGTGTACCCAGTTCAGTCATCATCATCATCATCATCATCATCATCATCATCATCATCATCATCATCATCACCTCAGACGTGCCATGGGTTGAGATAAGCAAGGTTTGGGGACATGGGTCTGGGTTAATTCCCCCACACAGAGCAGAGGCACTGTGTCCTGTGTCCCTGGGGAACCTTCACCCAGCCACACCTTTCCCGAAGTGCCATCCCTCTCCTTCAATTCCTCCACTGGGAGAAGGTCATTTCTAGCTGGGTTCTTATCCCAAAGGGCCAACCTTTTGCCCAGCCAAGATGCTGCTCAGTGCCCTTCTTGATATTCAAGAGCAAGATGTGCACATTTCAGATAAACACAGCCTGGAAGGTCTCACCCATCTCCTGCACACTCCTGATCTGCTTCATCCAAGCCCCAGTGAGGGCAGTGGAAAGATTCCTGGTGAGTGCTGGGCTTTGGCCTGGATCCGAGGTTTTACAGCCTCTCTGGGATCACTTTACTCACTAGGCAGGAAAAACAAACAGCTCATGGCATCGAGATCCTACACCCACAGCCAGAGCTCAGGCAGCTCAGCCAGATGCCTCCTAAAGCCCTTAAGACTCACTGAGTTTTATTCTCTTTCTGCTCCAGGCTGAGGCTTTGTGATCATTCCCTACTCTGTACGGTCCCTGTCAGACTGAGAAGCACGTGGATAACTTCATTTTCTTCTTCCAGATATTAAGAACTGCTGAAGAGGGACCCATCCATTAAATGGGTCATTGGTATTCATGGTGGGAAGGGCTCTGCTCATGAAGCAGGTTTGTTCTGCCACAGAGCTGATAATGTGTTTTAAGAGAGTTAATAAAAGTAATTGGCCTTCATAAAGGAAAAGGAATATAATGTTGGAGGGGGGAGCTGTAACCAGTTTCAGTTTTCATTCTCTCAGCTGAGCAAACAGCAGGGAAGAGCCACCAGAACCTCAGGAATGTACCATGAAAATGTGAAGGAAACTTCCCCACCAGCAGGGCCAAACAGGGATGGGAACCCGGCTGCTACACATCCAACAGGAGCACTCCTGGGTTTGGGACACAGCCAGAGTGGGAAACATGCACCAGGCAGAGGGAGAGGCCAAGGATTGTGCAGAACAAGGAGCCAGCCACCATGAAATCCTGAGCACTGCCACCAGCAGACCTCCAGCCCTAATCCAGCACCAGTGCCTGTCCCTCCTCCACAGCCACAGAGATGTCCCAGGGCACTGCCCAAGCCACAGTGCTGAGATTGGGGCTGCTCCAGTCTGCCAAAGCCCGAGTGTTAAATCACACCCAACGCAGCAGAAGACGGGAAGGTTTTTGTTTATGTAAGATTTGCTGTGAGGCGTGGAGAGAATCTGCTTCCCTTGTTTTTAAATGCTGTGCTGTGTGAATTTAATGTGCAGAAAAGGTGTCAGACAAGCAACCCTGAAGAAGAAAACTGCCTGTTTAGCAGGGAGCTGAGCTCTTGAACACCCTTCATCTGCAACGAGGTTCTGCAGGCACAGCCCAGCACCAGCGGGTGGGGGAGAAGAGCTCAGCACACGAGGCAGCACAGATGGGTGTTTCACCCAGAAATCCTGGCACACACCCCTAATCCTCCAAACCTGGGAAGAGCCAGCACGTGCAGGATGCTCAGGTGCTTGATCACCCTGACATAATTTACAAAAGCACAGGTACTTACTAATTTACTTTGTTTTTTCAGTGATCCCTTTCCACTCTGTGACTTCCTTGTGGCCATCACCTTTTTCTCCTCACTCTGACTGCTGTGGAAATGATTTCCAGGAAGTCCCAAGGATCTGCGAATTTCCCCCCCTGCAATGAGACCCCTGGCCCTGCTGCAGAGGGACACGTTCTCACCTGGGCCTGACAGCTCTTGAGGAACACACCTGATACAGCAGACAGAAGTTTGCAGCACTGCCAGCCCTGGGGATTCACATGGAGTCCCTGGGCTCCATCCAGAGCTGCAGCTGGGCACTCACATGCCAAGAACCTGACCACAGAAACTGTTAGAGAATAAACCTCGGCCTAAACTTGATTTAAAATGAGCCTCCACAGTGGGACAGTGCCCCTTGGAACACTGCATTACTTTATAACTTAACTACAGGAGTATTAGGCTGCTCTGTACCATAAAACACACACAGCAGTGGGACCTGCTCTAAAAGCATCCATTCCAATTATTTCCCCTTTCCATTGTCACCAAGGGACAAGAAAAGAGCGTCACAACTTTGTTTTGACTGAAGTAGAGGATGAGATTGTCATTGCTTTGTCACACTTGATCGATGCTCAGGCTCCACTGAAGCTATTGAACATAAATTCCAAGGCATGCAGATGTCACACATGCCCACTCTGCAGCAGACACTGAGCTGCTCTGCTGCTTTCTTCAAAGAAATGCAGAGAAGGGAACAAACTCCGATTTCTGGACTATTTTCTATGCAACAGAACCAGCAGCACAATTCTGTTTGGCAAGGCTGCACCCCAGGCTCTGGCTCAGCTCGTTCCCAGTATCACCAGTCTCACTGGGAGCACCTCAGTGGCTTCACAGCTGGTCTTGTTGAGGTATTTACCCTCCAGCAGGAAGCCAAGTCTTCTGGAAAAGGGACTGACAACATCTTTTAACCAGTCTTGGATAATTCATATCACCGAGCGTTCTGTAATTTGTCAGAAGCATCTATTAATCCTTAATGAGGTAAAAGCTCCTCAACATTTCTCAGCTAAAGTTGCCAAAAATCCCCCACACCGAACTGACATTTCCATTGCTGCTGCTGCAAATCCTTTTACTTCTCTTGAACGGAAGAAAAAAACAAATTTGAAGGATTCAGCCCTTGCTCCCTGACATAGCCAGCAAAAAGAAACTGGCTCAAGTATTGCTACACTAACAGAAATAGCCCATATTTCATGTCAAGGAATAGGATGTGCAAATTTTTATAGGCACCATAGATCATCACCATCTGTCTTGACAAGTTAATTGTCTGCAGTTTTTCTAGGAAAACTAGAACCTTTAAAAACTAACAAAACAAATGAGTTGAAGGATGATATGGCCAGAGCATGAAGCATCGTGGGCTCACTGCCCTGGAAATGTGCAAGTTCTGATATGCCCGAGTTCAGTCTAAAAAGAAAATTTGGAGTGGTCAAAGTGCTCTTGGTGCTACTTATAGCACTGAAGTACTACATACATAGCAAAAGAATTGCTTATAGAGCACAATCTCTGCAAAAAAACCAGCTGAACTTGACAAATCTGGGAACAAAACATTAATTAATCAAAGTGGGGAATGGCACTCACAGGGTTCGCAGTCAGTGGCAGGACTCA